ACTGACTGGCAGCAACTCATTGCTGATGTCCTTTCTGCTTGGCATTGGCCTCATACACACCTGTATTATCTAGACCAATGGCAGCAGGAGGAAGTGTACAATTTTTGTCTTTTATTGATAAAAAATAAAAGACATTTCTGTCATCCATTAACTGATAAGAAAAACAAGAAAGCAATACACCATAACCCTCTCATGACCAACCCTGACAAATAAACAGAGAAAGCAAAACCCCCGAAGACAGGCCCTTACTCCTATTTACCCAGTTTATAAACTCAGAAACATATCCAGTAGTGAGCTGGTCCATCCCACCCGGAGGCGTTGTTTGGCCAACACTGAGCCGTGGGACCCTCACTGGACACCGCTTGGCTGTTCCTGAACTATCTGCACTCGCCGTCTGGCCACAGGCTTGTTGCAATTGGCAGGCCGTGTGCTCCATGTTCCCTGGCAACTGCCCACTCTTGAGTTCATAGCTTTTGACCTGCATGTTGAGAGGATCGCTTGGCTCTCGCTGAGCCGTATAAACATTGGAGCGTGTTAGCCGAGGGCAGTTTGGCCAGAGCATTAAAACACCTGATGTTCTTAATCTGTCTTGGAGCCAGTTACAGTGACTGTCCTTTGGCAGCGTCAAAACCGTGTTAGACTCCATGTGGGCAGTAATGTAGCATTACCCTGAATTAACATGAGCAAGTAAGTAACAAGTGTTGGCATATATTCTTCGTGAAATCTTTATCGAGTTTTACAAAAGTCTTCGTTTCAGTGCCATTATGCTGTTTATAGTCAAATATGAACTGTTTTGTGTTTTTCTTTCCACAGACAAACAGCTATATTTCTTATTAAGCTTAAAGTTAAACTGGTCTGAAATCACATTATCTTTGCTACTCACAACCAAGGATCAGTGTTATTATTTTAGTACACAACCCCTGAAAATTGTAGGAGCTAGCGGAATAATAAGCAATCTCTCAGAAAAGGTTTTAGTGTGCTTAGGTGAGAGAGAGCTAAACGGGCTGGTCAGAGTATTTCAGAAAATGCTGATTAACCGTATTTTCACGTGGAACAGTTTTCTCAGGTTTACAGAGAATGGAACAAAAAGCGTGGATAAAGATGCAATAAGGACCTGCATATGTATTCCCTGGCTACCTAATTGAAAGTTTTCTGTTGACAGTTCTTCTGAGAAATTGAAGTGTGTTTTTTTGTGGGCATTAGAGTAATAATCCTGGTCAGAACTCAAGCAGAGATTGCAACATTTAACCTGAGTAATTTTCTGAATTTATCCTATCAAACAATGTTTTATTGTCCCAAGTCGACACTCTCACTTACAGAGAAACTGGCCTCACCGCAGAGCACTTTTAAATCCCTCAGCACGGTGCCGGTTTGCTACATCTCTAAGCTGAAACAGAGAAGAGTTTTCCCATTTTCCCCACCCCAAAAAAAAAAATCCAAATTCCAAACTCAGAGTTAAGCTGAAGACTGATTTTCTTCTTAGGTAGGTAATCATTTGGTTATGTAATTAAATCCAAGTTTGGGATTCTTAGTGCCTAAGTAATACTCTTTTTTTTTTAAAGCTTTCTCATGTACGTGATTTTAGACTTGCACACAATGTGAGTAACAAGCCTGAGAACATTGAAAGGGAGAACTGTCAAGAATGATGAAATATTCCCTTTACTGCACATTCTCCCTTTCAAATATGAACATCTTTCGTCTGCTGCTGGTTTGATGCTTGTTACTTGTATGGCCCAACTTGCATTTGCATTTTTCTAAATATTTATTTTTGCGACTTGGCACATTAGAGGCATTTCTACTGCTCTGTTCTGTGGCATTAAGCTTATAATTGTTGCATCTTAAATGGTAAATGATGTGGTAAACAATCAAGATTAGGGTCCTTGGGAGAATAAGCAGCATTTTAGATTTCAGTAAAGCCAATTAAGTTAAATAAAAACTGCACTAAAGTGAATTGTTAATCTTGTTTATCGAGTCAATAAAATATAGATGACTTAAACAGAGTAAGAAAAAGATTTGAACTAGTTAAGGTCTTCCAATAACTTTCCTTCAGTGTAGAACTAATGGTATTATCTTTATTATTTACACTGCTGTTTAAATTAAGTCCAAACCATTTTAGTGTTGTAATCTAATTTATTTCAGCCCATGTTCAATCAATCAGGATCTGTAAATAGCTCTTAAAAAGTTTACTCAGCTTTAACACACTCTGGGTGAACTAACGTTGCTTCTGTATTGGACTGTGTGTGAAGGGTGACTGATAAAATAATGGAAACAAAGCGGTGACTCTGTTCTGTGGGTAACAAACTTTGAATGTCAGCCAGCGTGACGGCCACTGACTCAGGCAGACACAGGGAGGAGGGTGTGAAACGGAGACGGAGCTGGCACCGATCCCTACCTGGTTGAGAGCAGCTGGCGCTCCTCCAGTCAGCGTGCCACCCTGGCTGCCATCTCTCCTCCCAACCCGTGGCTCCGGGCCCCGATTTCACTCACACTGAGGACACGACCAGAAAAACACCCAAATGAGACAAGAGGACGGGGCCGTCACAGTCAGGTCTCTGGATGAGACGCAGCAAGTTGGTGTGAGCGTAATATTCTCCTCATAAATAACCATACTTTATCTCTAAAACAGGTCAAATATTATAGTACTGACTCAATACTAAAGGGAGACGTACAGTCAGAACTGTTCCCTTATTGAAACTCCACAGCTTTTCTTTTATCCTTCACACTTTGCGAAACATCTCAAAGTTTTTAAGCATAAACCTGAGATTGAGTTAAACTTTAATGACGTATCAGACAAGAGCAAGATAAATTTACTGGTTGACATGCTTGTGGCACAGGAAAATGATGTTTGGATTATGTGTTTCTGCTGCTTTTGTAAAGTAATTTTTGAAGTAGTATCCAATTACTAGAGATTCACCAATCAGGGTTTTCCCAGCTGACAGATTTCTGATGGTCTCTAAAGTCTGATATGCTAATTCCACCCAAGGGCTTTTAACCAGAAAAATGGAACTGAAACAGTAATTTCTCTAAACTTTTTACTTTTTACAGTACTTTTACAGGACTTTTTACAGAAAAACAGTAAAATGCTTCAAATAAATTGGTTTTACTTGAAGCACAGTAAAGTGCTTCAATGATAGGTAGTAGGTATGAACTTACAAGAACATTAGAGAATTACAAGAATATTGGCATTTAAGCCTCAAAAACATCCTTGAAGATTCACAGTGACCCTAAGACTCAGATTTTTTATTAATTTCAGAAAAGTGAATCACCGTTTGTGTATAGGCCAATAATAAGCTGAGAACTTGCTTGATAGCAGCTGGGACGAAGATCTGCATCTCCAAATCTGAGGCCATGGACTTGAGATGGAAAAGGGTGGAGTGGCCCTCTTTGGATTGGGGACGAGGTCGTTTTCCTGGTGGAGGAGTTTAAGTATCTTGGCTACTTGTTCATGAATGAAGGAGAAACGGAGCAGGAGACTGACAGGCAGATTGGTGCAGTGACTGCAGAGATGTGAGCGCTGCACTGGTCTGTTGTGGTGAAGAGAGATGAGCTCTAAGTTTACTGGTCAAACTACGTTTCTACCCTTAGTAAGGCAGCAAAAAACAAGGTCAGGAATACAAGTGTTTGAAAAGAGTTTTTTTTTTTATTTTGCTTCTCGAAAGACAAAAAAAAAACATTCCTATGTTTTCTTCTATTGTCCGACTTACTGGCAGCTAAGAAAAATAGGTTAGCAGTTCTGTACTTTTTTTTTTTGCCTTGTAGCCTCATTGTATTCATTTTAAACCTAATAGACCCTGTTTGTTCCATCAATTTATGTACTTATTTTTGTAATTTAATTAATTAGAAGTAAATAGATTGAAACATGAATGAAGATAAAAAAGGAAAAAAAACAAAACAAAGACGACTAAAAGCAAAAAGCAAATACAAGGGATAATGAAGAGGATCTGATTAAATCTTTTATTGCAAACAACTCCACACCGTATAGCCCGAGAAAACAAGTGGAAAAAACAAACAATTACCAGCCACACAATTGAAATAAGGAAGAAAAAAAATTAAGTTATGAGGTGAGCAGAAAAGCTCAAAGTTTAAATGAGATGAGAACAAAAGAAAGATGCAAATTCTCCAACTTCAAGTGATTTGAAACAGTTGTAAATAAAGACTAAAAATACAACCTTGATCTTTCTGCATTAAGAGTCCAAAAAAAATGCAGATTATTTTTATTTTAAATAAAAATCCAGTTTTCCTATCGTTCAATATCCTTTCTAGTTTATCCATTATAAGTTGTAAGTACTTTGAAAAGTAAATGAAATACTGTGGGTCATTGTTATGAGACACTCACAAACGTTACATGCTGAATGTAATGTCAAGATCTGTGATGTGTGGTGCCAATCACTGGCTCGCTTTACTCTTTAGATTTGTGGCGTCTTTATTCAGCGAGCTGCTCTGCGTCGTTCGTGTCTTACAACCGAAATGTTTTGTATATTGTGACAGAAGACAAAAAAAGGGGAGAAACCTTGAGCTTGTGAAGCTTTAATAGTTGCTTCATTTGTTCCTGTTGGTCTTTATTCTATCATGCTTGTAAAAACTTTCTCTGGAGAAACTTGCTTAGATGGCCTTTGGGTTTTTTCCTGGTGACTAGCTTGTTGAAATGTGAAAAGACTATTTTTATTATTTGATTTTTGCACAAACGTAACCTGTTGTGGGGAAAAAAGTGTTTTCATACACAAATAAAAAAAAATACTGACAGAGGAAACATGTTCTAGAAACTCCCTGCATACTTAGATCTGTAAAGCAAGATGTACAAAACAAGATTGAGGGAGTATGAACATAATCTCCATTATAACCATCACCACATCGTATGGATGTCATATTAATCTGTCTCCACACCACTTTTAATTTGTTCAGTTTAGAGTTGCAGGCGCTACATGTAACTTTGATTTTAGACAGTTTTACAAGTGTGTCTTGTTTTCACCACAGCTTATAAATGTTGATGCAAGTAGCAGCCATACTGAAACTTGAAGTCAACCTTAGAAACAATTCAGACTTTCCAAGTAGGAAGTTCAACTGACTGGGAAGTGAGAATTTCAGAGATTTGGATACAAATGTAAAGCCGTCATGTTCAATAAACCAGTTTGAGATGATTCCT